AGTTTTATTCCCTTTAAAAAATAGAAGTAAATTGAAACTACCATCCCTTCCTCTCATTTGGATTCTGACTAGAAGTAAATTTAAACATTGTTACATATAAAAATATTGTTGAAGTATTTGGACAACTATTTCTCAGATGGAGGGATGTCTGATAGAAGTGAACCTAATAGAGATAGAACATTTACCTGAGATTTCGTACCCCGGTAATTTAATAAAATTGTTATCCAGGAAGCAGATTTCATTTTGGAGGTGTTGTGTTTAAGTCTAAGGTTTTTGAATTGTCCTCAAAGTAATTTAAAACTTTTATTATTTCAGGAAAAGGACGCATTTTACATAGTCAACAAGCATAGGCGTAGCCAGGATTTTTATAAGGGGGTGGGGAATTAAAAAATTTTTGGGGGCTTGGCCCCCAGACCTCCTTTTGGGCGGGCCTTCGGCCGGGTTACTTTAGTATATATATATATAGTCATAAAATATTTTTACAAATTTTAATAAAAAAAATAAGCTTAGAACAAATATGAAATATATTTTTATTAGTTTATATAAAATAAAAATATAATAAATTACTTGTATTGTATATACCTTAATATAAGAGCATGGTAATAATTTATTCCAAACAATTATAAGAAATTTATTTATAAAAAGTAAGTAGACACATAGTTGATTTTACTCTATTATATAGAATTAGTTATAAAATATTAGGTAATTCCACTTTTACAGACGTATTTGACAGTTAGAGAATATATTACAGTTAATAATTTAACAAATTTTACTATTCAATGCTCTTGATATTAAATATAGCAACAATTTGCATTCAATTATTTAACGCCATCTATTTATTTTAAGTAAAAATCTAATTAAAATTTAATCTTCATATTATTCATCCCACAATGTCTTAAGATATTTTCTGATGTCCTTATCAATATTTTATAGTTTTCTGTAAAATATATAATTCGCTATATTGATAAAAATTACGATTATCATTTGTTAATTAGATATACTGTAAATCTACGACATATAATATTCCACTGTTTGTTTGTTCTTTAATATTTTTTTAATTTATGATATAATTTTATCAATAGTTTTATTATTATATTTTACTTTTATTAAGATAAATAAATTAAAATTACTCACTTTATAAAAAATTATATTTGATATATTATATTATTTAGTAATTTTATGGATCTATTATTAATAATCAGAGTTGTTAAAAGATACTTTTTAAATGGATCTAGATACAGATACAGATACATAGTCTCAAAAGTTATCTAGATACAGATACAGATACAGCGTCTAAAAAGTTATCAAGATACAGATACAATTTTTAAATGTATCTGTATACAGATACATTTTTTATTATGCTCTTATAGGTTTGCATAAACCTAAATTAATATTATATTGTGAAAATTCATGAAATGAGCTAAAAAATTTATTGACGCGATATTACATTTATCAGAATATAACTAAAATAATGATTTTAATATAATATATGATAATATATGATTAAATAATTATAAATAATTATTAGATTTCAGTAATAAAACATTTTCAAAATTTTGATCATTTAGGCATCCTCGTTTATCTGTAAAGACATTTTTAGCAACACTAAATAGTCTTTCCACAGGGGCGCTTGAAGGAATTGTAGTGTTATATTTAATAAATAACAATTTTATATCAGGGTATTCTTTAAAAATGCTAAAATCTCTACATTCATTTTTGAAAAAATTATTTAAAATTTGTTGATTATCAAAATTTAAATCATTATTAGAAATTATTTCTGCTGTAGGGTACTGAAAAAAATCTGAAATTAAATTATTTGTTTTTTTTTGGCAGGTTATTTGCTTGCAGTCAGTTGATGACTTTGATAATTCACCAGCTAATCTTTGTATTAATTGTTTTCTTTTATTAAGATTTTCTTCCATTTGCAACCATGTCCAATCAAGTTTAAAAAAAGGGTGGAGCATGGTTGCTATAATATTATCATCTTCAAATAAGGTCACAATAAACCTAGAATTATTAAATATTTTTAATTTATTATATTAATTTACCTATCCTCAATCCCTTTAAGTAAGGCATCTAAGAGTGGTAAACAGAATCTCAGGTTCATTTCTTTAAAATTCTTTAATTTGATAATAAGTTGTGAAATAGTTGCACAGTAATAAGCTGTGTACATATACTTATCTCCCTGCAAAATATCAAGGGAATTAGCTATTGGCTTCATTAGCTAATTTAAAATAATGCTATATATATAAATATTATTTATAACTTACTAAACAATATTCATGAATAAAATCACATTCATTAGGTAAAAACCTAGGTAGTTTTATTCCATCACATATCTTGTCTACTTTGTCAGATTTATCTTTTATAATTTCTGACATTAATTGTAAGGCATTATAGGTGGAGTTCCATCTAGTTATATTAGGACATATAAAATAACGACCAATATATTCCTTAATAATCTCAGATGAAATAGGAGACTTATTTTGCCTATTCCATATATTTTGGCATTTAAGTAGTGTTGTGCTATATATCTAATGAAGAAAATATTACTTATTTAATTAAAATTAGTTTTACCCTCTGATATTGTTTACACTGCATGGCTCTATTGGCATCCACAGTGGCTATAAGATTCAATGTGTGACTGGCACAACATTGGTGATGAGGTAAACTAAATGATTCTGATAATTCAGAATCCTGTGCAGTATTATAAAGATTTGATATAGAAATTGGCACAACTGCTTCATCTTCCAGATCATCAATTGATTCACTTGTATTATTTTCAATTGGCTTGAAAACTCTTTAATAAATTAAGTAATCAATCATATATTATGTTTATATTTATTTATAATAAAATAAACCTAAAACATTTTTTAAAATTTTTGGCATTATCTGTAATGGTCTTTGAAATTTTATTTTGAATGCAATAATCCTTAGCTATATCTTGTAAATTTTTTGCTATTTTATCATATGTATGACTACCAGTCATTCTTTTACAAGCCAACGCTACATTTTTTCTTTCCAAACTTATTGGATTTATATAATGAGCGGTTACTCCTATATATGAACTAGAAATTAAAATTTATTAAAATTGCTGAATTAATTATTCTTAATTAATTATTATACAAATTGAAATGTAAACTATACCGGCGATAGGCACTCCAACAATCTGCTGTTGTGCATATTAATGATGGTTCTATAAGACTTTTAATTATTTCTTTCTTTTCATTTTCCCATCTTTGGGAAATTCTACCAACAACTGTCTGTCGGCAAATTATATTTTTGTGTGGAGCCAAAGTGTTGATCATTTTTTTAAAAGAAGGATTTTCAACAATTGAAAATGGCTGCATGCCATCTATAATAAAAGCAATAATTAAATCATCTAAAGTGCCTTGAGTTAAAGTCAAAGGTCTTTTAGCAAAAATATTGATGGAGGATGAGCCTTGTCCAGTATTTTCTTTGGTAGTTTTATTTTCCTTCCCCTTTTTTATTTTTGTTAACAAGGTTGGATGTTTTCTCTTAAAATTTAAATTAGAATTTTAAATATATAATATCTATACCCTTATGTGCTTCAAGATATTGCACGTTGAAGTCTTACTGACGGATATTTTTGTATTTTTAGGTAGACACGGCAAACATTTTACCATTAGAGAATTGTTTTCTTTGTTTTGAGATATTATTTTAAAATATTCTCTATAAATTGGCCATGGTAAAGCAATAGAACTTGTTGTTGCTTCCTCTTCTTCATCGATATAGATCTAAATAAATATATAAACTTAAAAATTTAGTTATAAAATAAAATTTACCATTTCCATATTGTAATATTAAAATTTGTATGGTTTATTGATAAACTCGGACATAATATTTAAATTAATGAATATTTATATATATTTTTTATATATAAGTTTTAATATTTTATGTATATATAATTCTTTATTATAATATTAATAAATATTAATATATAATATATATATATATATATTTATTTCATAAGCTCATATGAAATAAAATAAATTTTACAGTCAAATATTTTTATTTATAATAAAAAAAGGGGTATATAAAATGTATCTGAAAAAGTATCTAAAAACAGATACAGATACCTCTAAAATAATATCTAGATACAGATACAGATATCTTTCTAAAAAATCTATCTAGATACAGATACAGATACTACATTTTTATATCTAGATACAGTATCTAGATACTTGTATCTAGATACTTTAACAACTCTGTTAATAATTATAATACATTTCACTTCTGTCTTAAGACTTATCTTTGGCTTATATTCCATTTATTAAAAAACATTTTTGGTTCATTTTATATATTTATAAATTTATTTTCCCAAAAATCTATAAATTATGATGAATAGTTTTATAAAAAAATATCAACTTTTACATTCTTTCTTTCAAATTATTATTTAAGATATATGCATACATATTTGAGGGTCAGGGAGTGGGGGGAGGACTAAGGGGGATATTTTTTATTAGCTAAAAATTATATTTACAAAAAGTGATAAATTTCTGAAGGGGGGAATTTTCCCTTGCCCCCCTCCACCTGGCTACGCCTATGTCAACAAGTAATCCAAATATTTAGATTTAATCATAGATAATATCCTAATCCCCAACTCAAAATAGGAGGGAACCAAGTACCTCCCTGTTGTGTGTCCTCGTTAAGGTTAATGACATGTGGGCAAAAGAGGAGTACTAGATAGTGCTATTGCATAGTAATTTTATTTTTAGATGGCTACATATACACTTGTGGGAAGCTTCATAGTGTGGATAGAGATAAGGACCATATATGGTTCCGTTATATCAAGAAACTGGCTAAGATTGGCAAAAGAAGCGACAAGATTATATGGATAAATGATGAATGAAATAAGAATAGCGGCACCAGAGAGATTCGAGCGAAGGACGAGAATGAACCCATATGATCGATAGAGACCCAGGCAATGTTGGGCTTATGAGGGAAACCATCGAATGAGATATTGTCCGAACCAAGTAATGACGATTAATAATGAAGCGATAACGTTGCAAGATGAGACTACTAGATTGGATGAAGGAGAATCACGGTAAGTGCCCTAAAGAGAGGTAACTAAGGAAAGGGGTGTTGTATGTTGCTACAAAATTTGAATAATATAAATAGAAATATAAATAATTGTAAAGGAAGCAGTTATGATTTGAATAATTGAATGTATTAAACTTTGTTGCAAAAAGCTCGTTGCAAAAAGTTTGTTGTAAAAAGTTTGCTTTTATAAATCATGATAATTGAATGTATTAAAGTTTTTAAAAAGTTTTTTTTTCTTTTATGAAAATTGATTTTGTGTTTATATAAAGAAATAATTTGTTTAATAGTTTTAGTTATTTTTTTTTTGGATAAATTTTTAAAAGAAAAATTTTGTTTAAATCAGTTAATAAAGAAATTTTAAAATTTATATTTTTATATTAAAATTATAAATTCATAACAGTTTAGTCGGCATACAGTTAGTATCGTAAACAGATAGCATATAAGGAATTTTGAAAAATCAGTAAATTTGTGATAAAAACAATATAGGAAATATTTTACGCGATCTGCTTTTGAAGCATTTTGTAAAGTTTACTTTGATAATAGCATGTTAGAGGAGAATTTTGGATATAAATGCTAATTTAAAGCTCGCATCCTCCCTTAACACCAATTCTTATTTGATATCAATAGACCCTAACCCATGTAATGATTATTTTTGGTAATAAATTCTAAACATGAAGCCAATTACGAAATATCTATCTTCGCATTGTTTTTGTAAGGCAATAAGATTTGCCGCATAAATTATTCTGTAAATCTGTGATGGGAGTTTGTTTAAAATATTATTTAATTCGGTTTAAAAGCATTTAAAAAGAATTCCTTGAGGTATTATAAGAAATTGAAAGTGAGAAGGACGTACCCCATCTAGTCCAGATGTGTAAATTGTTGAAGGAATTGATAGGCTGAATTTTTTATCATTAGATAATGATAACTTATTGAACCGGTGGTATAGAAGGTATGGATGATACGATCAATTAATTTGAAAGCCCAGTTAACTCGCCCTTATTGTTTAAATATTTTTATTTTAACGAGATAAATTATTATTCATCATTATTATTTTAGTTCTTACATGTAATCAGTTATGGGGAAGGTATCAAGATTTCCCAAGTTGTATTAAATATGGTAAAATAGATAAATACTCTGTATTTGGGAGGGATGAGACATTTATAGAGGAGTGTTAGAAAAATATCTAAAAATTTTATATTATTAAACTCATTTTTATACCTGAAAACTTTTTATAAATTGTAATAGGAGATTGCTGCAAAATGTTACATTATCATGGTTATTAAGGTCTTTTGAAGAAATGATTATTTATAAGGTCTGGTTAAAGGGTTCCTAACTGAGAAAATAAGGAATGAGGGCTATGTTTATAAAAATAAAGGGTTAAAATTACTCTGATAAATAATTTATATACGGAAGGTCCTGAAAGGTCAAACGATATGTAAATAATATAAATATACCTTAAGAAAATTTTTTAATCAATTAATTTACAAGGCTTAGTAAACTTTAATTTGGACTAACTTACAAAGTATGCTTGTACTCTATTTCTAATTTGGTATTTTTAATGAAATGCTGGTGATAATCATTAAAAATATGCTTAAACGTCGAGATTTCGTTAATAGTTGTTAAATCCTTTATTTCCATTTATGAGCAAAATCTTTAGGCTTGGATAATATTTTTCTGGATAAAATATTGAGTTTGCCATTTTTAAAAATCTGCTCAAACGGCTCAAACTGATCCATTTTACAACACTAGTTTTATACTTTATTGAACGTTTTCATTGTTTTTAGAAAGTAGCTATATGTTGGCCGACGACGTGCATTATCATAAACGTAATTATGGAAGATCATCGGAGAAAGTGGGATAAAAATGAATTTGAAAAGAAGGCATATGAAAGGTTGGTAGCAGCAGAGAAGGAAGAAGATGGTGATAAGCCTATGATACCTTTTCAAAGAGAACTATTGAGACCTAGGGATTACAAAGTTTGATTACATTTCTGATCAATAATTTTTATATAAAACACTTTGGTATTAAGTTAACATTTTTAATTGAAAATTTATATGGATTTTAGGATGAATATATTTATCGGAGATGTACTGATACCTTAAGTTGTTGTAAGCTTATACAATTGATATCAAACAATGTTCAATTTATCATATTAAGTTTATAAAAAAAATACAATATAGCCCCCTCCTTATTTTATTTATAGCCAAGTTAATTTCATAACAAATTATTTTTTTTATCAAATCATGGCTCAATATAAGCCAATTTCTTTTTTTTTAATTTATGTGGGCTAATTATATTTTTTAGCTATTGGTCACTGGTATTAATTAAAATATATATCTTTATTGTTTTTCTAATATTGTATATTTACTTTTTAATATATTACAAATAATATATATATTATTCATTTTCTTAGCTAAATTATTAAAAACAACTTATTAGTTAAATATAGAATCAAGGATTGGAAAATCTATAGTTGTCACTAAAACAACCCCAGTGGGCAATTCAGGAGGCTATTACTGTGAGGTATGTGATTGCGTTGTTAAAGACTCAATCAATTTTTTGGACCATGTAAATGGAAGAAAGCGTAATAAAATATTTTATAATATTATAAATTTTGTAATCAGATTTAAATAGTTTACAATTTAAAATTTTGCCTGATTTTTATAAAATAATATGTCAAAGAATTGCTGGCTCAACTTTAAGCCTGGGTAAACAGGCTGAACTATTTTTTTATTTTACACCAAAATCAGACCTAAAAAAAATTATTTTAAAAATACCTGGGGGGTATTTTTTTTTATGAAATACCCAAGTTGAGTCAAATATTTTAAACCATAGAAATTAAAAATAAATAAAAAAAATTTGAAAATTATGTAACATATAATATCACATTCATTCACTTATATTTTCATTTTTTTTTGATCCTTAAAATATTTATAATAAAATATTGTTCAAACTAATTATTCAACTAGTCATTATGCTAGGTGATATTTAATCAAATTAAAAGCAATAAAGATACAGTTACTTTATAAAATATAATATACTTTTTAAGGTTAAAATTTATATTAATAAGTATCATTTCTCTGTCCAAATTCATGCAATTATAATGTTGGCAGGAAGAGAGCACAAAATGACTGATACTTAATAAAAGACTATATTAAATTAAAAGCAAAACAGAAAATCAAGGTATTACCATTACCAGTCTAATTGAAAGTGTGATGATTTAAACTTACTCTTTTTATGACATGGAGAGGTAAGATTGAAAAGTTATTATATATGAAATTCATATTCACTGAAGAATGATCTGTAATGGTGAATGTGTATATATATATATTTTGATTAAAAAAAAACAAGGCCATAAAAAAATTTTGCAAACCCTGATTGAAATTTTTTTAGAAAGAAATCTCTAGGCTAGGCCTAAAAATATTAAACTCGGGTAAAAAATTTTTGTTTTAAATCTGGGCTGGGCCATCCAAATGGTACCTCCGCAGGTCTCTGATATATATTAAAAAATTGCTTATAAAACTATCAAAATAAATTTGTTTTTTAAAGGAAACTATATTTGTTCTATCTGCTCAATTTCTCCTGGTTATATTTAAAAAAAATGGGGATATATGTTGCCTAAAATAATTTTTCTAATACAGGCTTTTAATAGATACTAGTCGCATATAACAATGCATCATTATAATCAAACGATGTTTTTTATAATAAATAATAGACATCCGAAATTTGGGTATGTCCATGAAAATCGAAAGATCCACACTTAATCAAGTCAAAGAGCGCATAGAAAAACATATATTAAAAACTGAAGAAGTCAAAAAGGAATACAGTTTCGAACAAAGATTGAAGGAACTCAAACAAGAGGTTGCATTATTTTAATTTCGTAATTAAGAATGAATTATTGTTGGCTGAATTGCAAACACATTTAAACAAAATTATTTTTTAAATTTATAATAATGAGTTCATCATGAATATAGTTGACTGGACTAAATCGGTTTGAACTCTTTGAGGGGGAACATGTAATTGTTATTAATGGAATCAAAAAAGTTTGGAACTAATATTTGGAAAGATTACTGGATGAAGAAATAAAAATATGAGTCAATAATGTGAAATATGCAAAGGTGAGGGCTTGACTGTTAGTAAAGATAAAATTTTCTAACACACTCACCTTCAGAATTCTTCAGGCAAACTAAATATTCCATGAACTTTCTAATATCCCGCGAAATTTAACATGGCCATTTAAGTCACCGTAAATTACCTCTAGATGTAGTATTAATTAGAGGTCTAGATTGGACCGGTTTTCAGCCCCCCAGCCCATTCTATGGATGAATGGACGGATTGAACAATATTTTTAAAACGATGGGTGGGGTGAATTTGTAAAATATTATGGGTGCAATAAGCAGAACAGACTTCTTATTTGTTGAAAATATTTTTTTATTTATTTCATAATGTGGCATATTTTATAAATTTAAGTAAAAAATACATTAAAATTAAATATATTAAAAGAAAAATCAATCAATAAAATAATTTTTAAACATTGGGCTGGCGAGTTAATCAAGATTTTTACATAAATGGACAGGCAAATTAACAAAAAACTATGCACGTGTAGAATACAAGAAGTTGGATGCGGTTTAAAACTCGTCGATTGCAGATCTCTAGTCAAATTTTTCCTGGATTCTATTCAGTTCCATCAACTTTGGTGGGGAGGGGGGGGGGTTGGCATATGCAGAGATCACGTTTAATATTGTTTACCAATGATCACTATAGCTAATTTACTATGGTTCATTCTTTTCACATATCTATCACTTTGTCTATTCAATAATAACACTAACTCCAGCATTATCATCATCGCTACCTTGCCAAAGGAACATACTCATTCATTATACCAATCATTCTTCAACCTTTTCCTTTACATCGTCTCTTGTGTCTACCCTCCTGAATAATGCCTTAATCACTTTGTCTGCTCTTCCTGCCATCCTTCCAACATTCTACTTAACTGCCCTTGTACTGTCACTACAAACTGGTTTCCTTGCAAAGTCACAGGCTGTTTATGACCATCATATGTCTCCTTTTTGTGAATTATTTTTCGACTGGGTTCTCTATTTTTTTTTATCTGAGGCAGATGAATGTATCCTAGGGTTACTTCGAACTGTATCCCACTCATATATTATTGTGCTGTTCATAGGAGGTAGTGGAGCAAATTATTATGGTCAGATGCCCTTCTTGATATCAGTCTTTTTCTTTGTGATCCTATATATTGTGGATCACTGAGAAAAACTTCCATTAGCCATCTAGGCGCCACCACTCCCCTGTTGCACTGAGGCAGAAGGTAAGATTGGGAAGGTGGCGGGGGCTGGAATAAAATAAGAATTTTAAATATTTTTTATTGGATTAAATTTACATTCTTCGTTGAGCGATCATAAATATTTTTTTATAACACCCGAAACTGAATCTAGCCTAGTAATTGGATCTGGTACCTATGGAAAAATTGTATCCGGCATATTTTTTTAGCACTTATTTTTTTTTTTTATATAAATGATAAAATAAAATATATAAATGAAAGATCAACTTTTATTAAAACCTGGATATGATAACTTAAAAAATTTATTTTTATTTACAAACCTGAGTCAAGTCAAATTAGGGTTCATGGAGATGTAATTAAATTACCTATCGAATTTTAAAGGTCGATCCGAATCACCGATATTAAATTATAGCATTTTTGATAATAATGTAATATAGCCGTTATGAGGAAATGCGCAAATAAGAATACCGACTAGAACTTGTAAAAGCAAGTTATGGGCTTAATTTAAGAGGGAATAAATTAACATATGTAAAATTTCGTATTCAGTAATCATAAAATAGTTATTTATCCACCATTTTGATATATCGGATCAGATTGGCCTATTTTACATGTTATTACTTTAAAAAAATATATATCGACCAAGGCGCTTTAAAGATAATTTTAAAAAAGAAATTTTTCATATAAACCCTGAGATGGGCTATTTGGAAAATTAGATTCTTTTAGTAGATTGTTTAGCATGCATTCATTTATTAACTGCCAATTTTTAAAATAACAGCCAAAATTTTAAGAACATAAACACGTGACTGGGATTTAATATACTACCTCTGCAAGTCTAGGATATAAATGATGAAGAATAATTGGCGGCAGAATCATAATAGATAACGGAAGGGTGGCTTCTCGTTTTTATTAAATAGCATCCATCCTAATTTATATTTTAAATTAATATCTAGCTCATAGTTCTTTAGATTATAACAAAAAATTCCCGATATATATTTTGAATATATTGATAATTAAAAAAAAACAAGGAAGAACGGCTAAAAGCACGGAAGAAAGAGAAACAACTGGCAAAAAAGCTCCAGAAGTATCACGGCAATGGTATTCTCTCCAGTCAATCATCGGATATGGCGGCTATCATGGGATTCGGAAGTTTTAGCATGACTACTAAAAAATAATTCGCTCCGATTTATTATAATAATATATTTATATTCGTATTGGTTTGGTATAGTGGAGATGGAAAAATGTATTATTGTGACTTAAAAACATTTTATAATTGTTTTAATAATATATCACAATTTTGTAATAGATATTTTAATATTTAATTTTTATTTATAGATTAGGAGGCGTTGTTATGTTTTATAAATTCATAATCGAATGACCTCCATTATTATTCAAAATAGGCGGCATTTGATGGTGGCACCTTTTAATGCTCCGTTAAATGGGAGTTATGGACCCTCGTTTTGGGATTCAAAAATTTATCATGATTTTATTGCTAAAATTTGGTCGAAATATTGAGTGACTAGTTTTTCTACAATTGTACCTAACTTACCCCTGTTCGAAATTACCCTAGGCCTGAGTATTTGTCCAAATTGGATCCATAGTTTCGGTTAAACGCGTTTCTTAAAAGTCTGATATTGATTAAGGTTAGTTTATATACGGGAAGACTATGATTAGATAATGACTTGTATTATTTCGCACAGAATTTAAAAAAATGAAATGCTCAGAATTTTTTTCATTAATTTCCGAATTAAATTAAAAGTTCAGAATTCTTATTGAATTTTACAGATATATTTTTTTTTAATCTAAGACGATTTTTTTGAGCGTTTAATATATTTTTATAAGCGATTAATTTTTTAATCAAAACCTTAAGAAATAATTCCTAGCATTCATTTATTTTTCTGGACAATTAAATAGGACCCTTAGATAAAGAGCCACCAAGTAAATGTGATTGCTCTTATTATACAACATATCTTACCGAAATATAATCTGATTTATTCATGTTATTAAGCATTAACGAGGTCTAGAAGAAAAAATAGAAAAGAATTAAATATCTAATTTTTCATTTAGTAGTGTTGAGTATATATTTGGGAATACAATGTAGGGGGTAAGATGCGAAGGTGTAAAAAGATAACAAAGTTAGATAAAGTTATTTATGATTAAAAGTACAGGAGTGGGTAAAAACAATATAAGATGATAAAAAAAATCGAAATCAAATTTAAAAGCAGTTACTCTTATTAAAGGCTGTGACCTAAATATAAATAATAAATTTATTAACCTTAACGAAAAAATGAGAAATAACAAATTTTTAATGTAAAAAAAATAGTGCATAAACCATTTTTTTTTAATTTAAGAAAATTTTAATGTAAAAATGCCCAAAGTGGCTAAAAATCCAAGATTTTTACAGTCTCCAATGAATTGATAAATAATCAAAACCAAAAAAGGAATCTTAAATTGAAATATATAAGTTCTTTCTTTTTTTCTTGAAAGAAAATTATTTTAAAAGATAATGGTATTTAGAAATCACGTGATGATGACAATGGTGTTGGGTGTATATATCATGGAGCTCCTCGTAGAAGTGGGGGTATTGTAGCGAATGTTAATGTAAAGCGCAATTTTATTTCTAGCAATAAACTTTAAAAATATATTTTTTATGTCTAACGAATTAGCTATTTCATTGTTTATAAAACACAATCAGAGTTGGGCAGGTCCTCTTGAAAAAGAATCTAAATGATTCTTTGTGAAAAAATGAATTTTAGATATAGATATTAGTAACTTTTTCAAAATATCAAAAAGATACTTGTATCTTTTACTTAATTAGAGTATTTTAAATACAAGATACTTTTAAATTATCATTACCAATTAAATTAGAATAGCCTATAAAATAGAGTTTTTACTATTTATTTGTGAAGAACATAACACACATATAATAAGAATGAATATTTATAATAATTAATAAAACATTTAATGATGAGTTAATTATAATAATCAGGCATTTTAATATTAGTATTAGCCCATTCTTAGCATAGATTGAGAAGGGAGACTAGTATTTTTAGGCAGTTGAAATAATCATGTGTAATAGAGTATTTAAAATACATTCATTATAATATAATCAAATAATTCATCATTAGTTCGGCGTACTTAACATTTTTACCAAAACTAAATAACCTTTCAATTAGAGCTGTTGAAGGTATTGTAGTATTATATGTATAAAAAATTTCCTTAATAGAAGGATAATAATTAAGCATTTATAATATACGACTTAATATAATTTAAAATCTCCAGCCTATGTTATTTGTATTATTGAACTCAACACCATTTGTTTCACCAAAAGAAAAATAATCATAATCTTCTTTATTAGATGTAATCTATTGGTTTTATAGTTTGAGCTTTATTATTTACTCTGGTACTACATTTAGGGCTTCTTTTATTAATATATTATAAAATTATATTTTTTATTATACGACTCAATCCATAAGTTTTTAAAATATGGATGTCATATTGATGTCAAAAAAGCCACGTTATATCAAATCATAGGAAAATATTTTCTTAAAATCTTTTACCCATAGCATCTGGGCAGCTTTTAAAGGTAGACAATATTGTAAACTTGAATTTTTGAGATAACCTATGCCCCTTTTAACGACACATAAATAATATACTATAATATATTTAACAAAATATGTGTTTAACCTTTTATCATTTTTTGATTTTACAAATTTTAATTTTAGCCTGTAAATTGTCTTTTTTAACTTTTATTTTAAAAAAAGTTCCATATAAAATTTTAAGATTATATGATTCAGCGGAACTTATTTCTATAATTTAAATTTCACTACCATGAGTGTTAATCATCCTAAAATTAAAAATATTACATAAAATTGGTAATGATATTCTATCGAGTTACATTTATATATAAAACCTAATCTATAAATATTTCGTTTTGGTGTTATTTTTTATCTTTCTACCTATGATTTGTAAATTTTCCAGATAATTTTGGCTGTCAATATATTAAAATATGGCGGAAAAAAATAAAGAAATTAATACATTCTCGAAGAAAATAAAATATATACTGTGATATGTAAAATTTTAAATATGAATATTAAAAAGAATCTGTATCTTTTGTCAAGAGTATGAAAATGAAAAAGATACTAGATTCTTTTTAGAATAAAGGATCTTAGATACAGATACTAGTATCTTATTAGTAATGTCAAAATGATACTGAGTACAAGATACAAAAGGATCTTTATCTTGTATCTTAGATACAAGTATTCGCGGTACTGCCAAACTCTGAACACAATAGGATTAAAGCATTTTTTTAAGAGAATTAGATACTCGCAAAAAAATGTTTTAACCAAAAAAATCTCTTATAATAAGACAAAGGTTTCCGAAATTTACCCCCCAATTCCCTATGTTTCGTGTCTTCCATCGAATAATTTCCATTACCTCCTCAAAAATTACTTTCTTTTCTTCCCATGATTCTATTTTCTGAATATCGTTTTAAACTTGTTCTATCACTTTTTTCTATCCTTAATCATAGTTTAACATTAAATACCTCTTAATTTTATATTTCAAAATAATTTATCATTATAACATTAAATATATTTACTTAAATATAGGAATTGCACTTTAAATTTTTTTATTTAATTTTAATATAAAAATGATATATATTAATTTATCTTGAATTTAACAATTTTCAATTTAAAAATATGATCTATTCCCAACTTGGGTGACTAATGATCTTCAACTTAGTGTATTTTTTTTAAAAAACGTTCTTTTCACTCTAACAATTGCTAAATATTTAGCAACAAGTGATTTTATTTCAATATTTCATAGTTTAATCTAATATCTAATTGAACAAGGTCGAAAGAGGGGATGGCTAGAAGCGTTTTACCTCCAAATATCTCAAGCGACAGATGGAAAAGTATTTATAGGGCGAATGTAGGCCTTAGCGTGTTGTCCAAAAATGGTTATCACCAATATTAACGTCTCTTTAATTTCTTATAAAACATCCATTCCTGATGATTTAATTAAACTTTTAAAATAGTACTACAATAACATTTTTAATAAATATTTGATAAAATCTCATCTATTATCATTTTACCTCGTAAAGCAATATTTTAAACTTGTAAAATATCGTTTTTAAACTTTTAAAGGATAATATTAAGCTTATGAAACTACTAATTATCCTCAAATTTTAAATTCTTATAGTATAAATTAATTCGTTAAATTTTTATTGTATAATATTAATAACAAGTATTTTGACAAGCTAAATATAATGAAACGGTTTTTGTTGTTTGCTCAGACATCATTATAACATTGTTGGGATTATAAGGATTTCATCAAAAATCGCCCTTGATTTTATTTCCCAGGCCAAGTAAAGGGACTTTGATATAGTAATATTTTAAAATATAATTATATTAACATATTTATAGTATGAAATGAATCTCACGAAGTTTAAGTAGACTGTCTGTTCAATTAGCATCATTTTCCCGTCTTATGGTCTTTTTCAAAATTAAAAAGACTCCTCTACTACTTTCTTCTTTCCTCCCTCTCCCTCTCCCCCTATCTCTATCTTTTCTTCTTTCTCACGCTCTCTATTCCATATGCCCACTCTTCTCAGTGTTTCTCCCTCTCTAATTATAGACAGAATTCCTACATGATTATTTATTTTGTAAATAATAAAAAAGTGAATTTATTTTTGTAAATTGCTACCAAGAGCATAATTGATTTTGACATTTACATTTGTTACAACAATCTCTAGAATTTGTACAAGGCACTCCTCGATACCTACACGGAACTCTGCCATATCGATTTAACATATTTTGCCTTATAATTTTTTTAAATGGAAATTCAGATTTATATATAGACATGCGCTAGTAATATTATATGGTATATTTACTCTAAGATTTATGATTTGACAACAAGGCCAATACCTTGGATATAAATCTCCCCCCCCCCCTAGAAATATATCACTTTTTGTGATTATCATTTTAAGCTTATAATAAATATCCTCCTTAGTCCTCTTCCTACCAACTGTCCCCCAAAAATGTATGCATATATCTTTAACATTAATTTTAAAGAAAGAATGGAAAAATTAATATTTTTTTAAATTAAAACTATTGACTATTGACTATAAATATTAATACTTTTTCTGAAAAAAGCATTTATATATAAAAAAGTGAAACCAAATATGTTTTTTAAGTAATGAAATATAAGCCAAAGATAAGTTTCAAGACAAAAGTGGAATGTATTATAATTATTAATAATTGTTGATATGACCGATTAATACTAACCTTTAAAT